TTGGGCCATCTCGATTAATTGTTGCCTTCTTAATTCCCTTTGTTCACGTTGCCTTCTTCGAAAAGTCTTTCAATATCCAGATCAAATTCGAAAAGATCAATACTTTTCGAATGAAGCATGCACTACCGAAGACCTAACGAAATGAAAATTAAGAAGTCAACTTCACAATAAAGATATAAAAGCTATACAAATGAATAAAAACTAAGAATTGTGAAAACTAGAATCAACTAAGATGGTAATTAAAATAAAACACAATATATATACCGCAAGTGCACGAGTGCTTTCAAGTAATAAAGTGGATTTATGAGTCCGAATATCGATCACTCGAGGAGTATTTTTTTTAATTACACAATTGTTGATTCAATTGAAAACACACAATTTGATTTTATATGTGAGACGAAAATGAAAATAAATTTGAAGATCAATTAAAATAACAATTATAAAAGAGAAGGAAATTCGGATTATAAATGAGTTGGGATTTACGATGTCATTTAACCATCATTTCTTTAATATTGCAATAAACCGAAAATGCAAATTACCAAGTTAAAATGTTAGACCCGATTTTCCATGTTTAGTTAATTACCTCATTCGAGCAAATTTAACCCTAATTGATTGGTTTTACCCACTATATTTCTATGTTGATAAAAATCCAACCAACCGCACTAAATCGTAATGAAAATACTCAATAGGTCACCTAGAGTTTGGAGTATATCTCTATCTCCTAAAACAACCTAGGGTATTAATTATTTTGGTCAAGAATGCATAACAATCTCTCAATAATTGCAAAAACAACCTAACTCAATCATCTATTGGCCATATTCATGATGAGAATTTATGCACAATAGCCATAGTAATTAAAGCATTAAATGATGAATATTGATATTAGTAAAACTTAGGTCAAGTTACACCATAAATCCCAACATTAAACACTTGGTCCATTGTAAAATAGAAGTACAAAAAGAAAATAAAGAGAGAACCCATTACAAAATGAAGGAGATAATGGAAAAAATCAAGATAATGGAAGAAAACCATCCCTTGAATATATTCTTGAAAATGTGATGGATTGAAATCTTGAATATCCCTTTCAAACTCTCAAATTTTGCTAGATATTATACCTTCTTCTTCTTGCCTCTTCTCCCCTTGATGTTTTCTCCTATGAGTCTTGCCTTAAAATTGAACAAAAATGGTATTTAAAGGGCCAAAAATCGTCTTTGGTGAAATTGCAGAAGAAGTCCCAAAATTTACGAAAAACATGCAAAATTGTCCAGTCGGAAGGCGGCGCACGTGCACGGGCATTATTGTTGCGCGCATTATGTAACAATTTTGGTCTCGGTATATTAAAACACCCTTCCCACGCAAGCACCACATTAAGCCTGCGCGCGAGCACATGCTTTTGTGCTTTCTTTTGTCCATCAAGTCCTCCATAAAATTGCATGCTGGTCCTTCAACTTTGATCATGTACAATATGGTCCTCAAATTATCATCTTTATATCAATTTTGCCCTCCAAAAGTTGCAACCCAAGGTCTTCCAACTTTTAACTTGTGCAATTTGATCCCTATCTTCATGTTTATGTACACTTTTGATCCATTTTCTCTCATTTTTACCTTATTCTCTTTTCATTTGGGTTTATAACCTACAAAAGCAATACTTACATAATTGTGAGTAGAAATTTGCTCATTTAATTAATATTTAAGCTTATTTAGATATTAAATAAGTGTGAAAAAAATACAATTATCACTATATATAACGGAACTAACTTTTATCAATATGGGTGGATTACTTTCATATGTTAAACTAGATAAGATAGAAATTTAAACAAATTCAAGGACTAATTTTTTTTTTTACAAACCTTTCTTTCTTATCTTTTTCTTAATCATTTGAAATTCAACTTAATCCAACATAACAAATATAATCTCTCAAATTCCTGAAAAATGAAGAAAAATTAAAACTCGGATCCTTGACTTTTAGAAATGAGTCTATGATGAGAGTGTAATTCATCATCTCTACCGGCCTTTGATCAATGCTGGCATGGGATTCGGTGCCCAAAGGTGAATATGTCTGCACTTTAGATAGCCTTTTTTGTTGCCCAACTCTGTCACAACTACAGAATCTGAACGTTCTTTTAAATTTTGATATAAACTTGCCTTTACCTCACTCAACTTGTTTCTTGAGTTCTACCTCTCACAATGAACCCCTCTAACTGCAATTCTACATAATTGTTCTATACTGCTTCTTTAGACCTTAGAGTTCAAGGATAGAGCCATATATCAATGTATACGTAATGAGAGCTATTTTTCAAATTATATCATTTATTAATTCCTACCCACATCAATTATAAGTCGTTGAGGAAAGAAAAAGTAATCAACAACTTTTTATTGTAGATATATTTGACTATGTAAAGTTAATTATTTTTATCTAATAACATTGAATTATTGTAACCTGAACCCACTTCAAATGTGAAAGAAAGAATTAAATGAATAAAACGTTGAAAAGTGGATGAGAAATTAGCACTTAGAATGTCAATTTTTTGACAAGACATGATCTTGACATATTTGGTGAAACCAAGCCAAAAACGAGATGTAAATGTAAAACATCACACAGTCAAACATAGACAGAGATAATGTTGCTTATTGGGACATGGTTATGTGGAAAAATCATAGTTATGAAAAAAGACGGCAAGATGAGGAGATTTAATCTAGTTATACATGATGAAATTAAGTTTGAAAGAATCGAGATTCTTTTTCTAACTCTTTTTTCCTAACCAATGATCGTTTCTTCAAACTTACAATAACAAGAACAAGAAAAAAGAAAACGATGTCAACAAGTTAGAAAAAAATAAAATAAAATTAATGTTTCATGTTCCCAAAGGCACATAAATTCTTCCCAATACCACCTAACCTTTCCTATTAATATAGAAAACGAAATAACAAAATTCAACCGAACTAACATCTAGAGGAGAGAAATAGGTATAATATGCGGAATTAAAAACTAACGTATAATAACAAGCAACAAGTCCCAAATTATTATATCTAGACAAATTTTAAAGTCGGTTTCAATCAATTGAGAAAGAAATTTTATTTTAAAGCAATTCATACGCATATCATAAACATGCATCATTTGTATGAGGTTTACTCGTTAGACGTTAGCACGTTCCATGTCACCCCTCCCATTTTCAGATAATAAAAGCACGATAATTCGATACGACGACTTTTGGTGAGATGGACTCAATATTATAATATTTAATTAGAGAATTTGTTTTGTAAATAAAGTTAATTTTTAATTTAATTTACTTATATTTTTATAATAAATCATGTTTATTATGTTGAAGAAAAATTAAATCACCTCTTCGCATTTATGATTTTAAGAGAAAATTAAATTATAATACTTTCAAATCTAGATATCTAGATTTGGAGGTGTTATAGTTTGATATCAGAAATAGGCATTTTAAAATCGATTCTATATATTTTTTTAAAAAATTGTTGAATAAGTGTTATGTGGCTTACTAATTTCTTGAATATTGATCTTTTCATTTAACAAGTTTCACTGGTGATGTGATCTTGGAATATGTCATTGATTTATGCCTGAAAGGAAGGGATTGGAATATGTCATTGATTTATATCCTAACTGATATAGTTCGAAACTACAAATCAAACTATAATAAGGTGAAAACGGATTGCTCTCTAAGAAACTTATGCCCTTTTCTTATTTCTTGAACAACCGGAAAATTATAAATGTTTGGAGAGCTTTAAATATGAAAGAAAACAGTTAACCTACTAGGTGAACAGTCCCTAAATGGGTTGGGCTACAAATCAAAACAAATAAACAATAAAATTAACAAACTACGAAACTTAAAACGCTGTTTTGACTAGGAGGACGACGTTAACCACCCAAAATCCATCATAGTCATGGAGACGCTATAAGTTCAATCCGAATCGACACGAGCTTTCCGAAAAGGGGTAATGGGCACAAAACGGACACCGTATACAAAAGTTATGCCACTATTTTAGAGCGCCGACAATCCAAGCGAT